GGCCGCTCTTCTTTCCCGACCGTCGCGCAGCGCCCTTGCGAGCGCCTCCTGTCCCTGGGCGCCTGCCTGCTCCTCGCCGTTGCGCTCGCCGCCGCGACCCTTGCGGTATGTGGCTGCTTTTGGCAGCGAGAGCCCATGAAGGATTTCATTGAGTGTGAAGACAGAGAGCAGAGACAGAAAGCAGAAGGAGGCGGCCGCTGCCTTTGTAGTCGGGGAGGAATGCGGAAATGTTGAAGCACTATGTCAAACTTTTTTGAAACGGGGTCAAGTCACATTCAGCCAGCGTGGGAAACCAAGGGGGGGAAAAAGTGGAGGCGAGGTGGGGGGAAAACTCTGCTGCTGCTGCCGCTGCTCCCAGACTGAGTATAGGAGCCGAGGAGAGAGCGAGCGAGAGAGAAAGGAACTGGGACTTTTTAGAGAAGCAGAGGCGGCGGCCGGGTGTATTGCTGGTGTAAGAGCCCTGCGCTCCGGGGAGATTGGTCGCTGCGAAGCTTTGATCAGTCCCAGAATAGTCAGCACAAGCCTTTCTCTCTCTCTTTTTTTTTTTCCTCCCAAAGGGAGGGGGGAAAAGGAGGAGGAAGAGGAGGAGGGGGGGTTGCGAGATCCTCTGCGCTTTAAGGTGCAGCCTGCCCTACCGCTTGCAGGAAGATGCGAACTCAGGGCAGCGGCAGAACCCCGGAGGAGCCGCTGCAACTACCTGTGTGGCCCCAACAGTGGCTGTGGAGACCTGAGCCGGGCGCGTCAGCCACCGCCACCATGTGAACCCTTCGGATCCGGTTCGGTTGTGCTTTGCTCCCTGGCCCGGCGTCCTTAATGAGAAGCTGCTTATTTTTTAAAAAAAGAAAAAAGGAAGGTCGGTCTCTATTTCCTACCCCCTTCACTTTTCGGAACTGGTTTTTTTTGTGTGTGTGGGGGGGGAGTTTTCCACCTCTCTCTCTCTTTGCTTTTCCAATTTTTTTTGAACCCCAGTCCTCCTCGGAGATCACTCGGGGTAGTCCTCTCTGAAGACCGAGGCAGATCCAGAGCAATATACCAGGTACTTTGAAAAGTGCCCATGTGCTTCTCTCGAACCTATAACCCAAATACTCCTATCGGGGGGGGGGGAGGCGGTTGGTGGTCGGGATTGGGAAACTTTGCCTCCGCACTCTCCGCCTATCATAAATTCCTGTTACTGTGGTGCCGGAATGAGGGGCGGTGGAGGGCATTGTTACACTGATTTTTCCCCCATTACAGTACATGCGTGCTCCATAAAGGGAGCTGGTTTGGGGTGGTCCTCTCTGTACTTGTGGGACTACTGTGGGTAGTTCTGGAGAAGCTGCTGTCCGGGTGAGGGGAGCAGAAATTGCTGTGGTGGGAAAGGCTCGGCTTGCTACTTAAGGAACCGATCCACACTTTCTGTGTAAGGGATCGCGGAGGCAAATTTAAGGTGTGTGTGGGGGGTTTGCCCGCTTTCTTCATGCCGCTGCTTTGGGCCGGATAGGCACGCGGCGCACTGAGTTTAGGCATGCGTTCCCACATGTGGTGGTGGTGGGGGTAGCTGGATTTAAGGTATCTTTTGAGAGCTTGGTTGTGGGCAGGGGGAAGAGGAAATTCCCTTCATGCGTGCCCTCACCCCCTCCATGCAGCATGTGTATTTTTTTATTAAACTGGTAACTTTCCATCGCCAATCAAGCAGCAGCCTCCCGGCCACGCAGCTCGGGCGCAACCGGGCTGCGTCTTCAGACGGCGTGCGTCTTCGCCTCCGGCAGGCGCAGCGGCGCTTGTGGCCGGAGGCCCCGCCTCTTCGGCGACCCCCCACACTCAGTCTGTCCCCCCCCCTCCGCCTCCGTCCAGTCCTCCCCGACCTCACACATGTTGAGGCCGCCTGGACGGGTGGGGGGGGCGACCTCCATCCTTAAGGCACTCGACGGCTCCGCCTCCCCCCCCGACCCAGTCTGGGCTTTCCATTGGCTGACTAGCGCTTCCCTCAGAAGAGATTCTCCTTTACCCAGGCTTGGGCACGTGGAGGTTTCTCTCCCTCTCTCTCTTTGGCACTTGCGACATTACAGTACAGTATTTGGCTTTGCTGGGTGCGCTGACAGCCTTTTCTTTTTTTTCCCCTCCACCTGAAGGCTTAATCTGCGAGAAGGCCGAGACCTTGTCTCAAGCCTCAGGGCACGGTTGGCAGGTATATGGTACCACAGATTTGACTGGCAATCCTGCCTGAGCAGTGTGGAGGTCCATGCTCGTTTTGCTCTGTGTTTTTAATTAAGATGGGATTTAAATATAAATAAATAACGGGGTGATAAGTAATGAAGAGGACAGTGCCTTTTAACATATACTGTACCTAGAAGAAAAACTGTTGCCCATTCCAAAATAACCATGGTCAGCATCAGGGATTTAAGAGGAGGGTGTCGTGAGGTAGCACCCAAGGCAGATACTGCTTCTGAAAGGGTTGTAAAAGCGTCTATAATTTATAAATTTAGATATGCAGTGTTAGATTATGGCAGTAACTTCCATCCCTTTTGTCTTTAAAGTGCCACGAATATGGTACTTTATTATGACAGTGGCAAAAAATTCCTTTTTTGGAGAATTAACTCCCAGAAACTTCATCTAGAAAGTTCTTTGCCTGAGAATCCAGATAACTTAGTGCCAGTCAGAGCAGACAAATGTTTTGGCAGGGTGTAACACAGCTTCAGATCCTCAAAACAGAAGTGATTGGTTAGATTAGCAGAACATGTTGAAATCAGAAATATATAAATAATAATAAATAATCTTAGAACTCCAAAGCTAGAAGGGAACCCAAGAATCATCAAGTCCAGCCCCTGTCATGGAGGCACAGTGGAGAATCAAACTCCCAACCTCTGGCTGTGCAGCCCCATTCTTAAACCACTGGCAGTTCACGGATATCCCAAAAGTATTGATATTTTTAAAATCTGAGTTGCAAATAGCTGCATTTAGAGATTAATTCATACAATTAACCTTGTGTGCAATGGCTAGCACCCATGTCTGGTGTTCTTTAAAACTAATACTTTATAAGGTTTGGGGGAGCCAGTTGCATCATGGAGACGAGTGTTAATCCCTTTCTTCTGAATCATAATTTCAGAAGAACAAGAAACCCTCCCATTCCTGTACATTGCAGGAAATGCAGGCATTGCAGGAAAGCTGAGAATTTTTTCTAAGGGAAATTGCTGTGCAAGAGGACAGTTTTGCAGGAAATGTGGCTACATAGGGAAAAGTTAAAATTCTGTTTCCCTGCATGCTGCGATTTTGATGAAAATTGGCTTCCCTTTCCTAGCACCTGGCACTACATTTTGTAAAAACCCACCTGTGGCTGCTAAATGTAACATAAAAGAAATGTGTGGCTTATGCCTGAGACAAGAAATAATAGTGTTCATGTTTACTGGAGAACTAGATTATAGTATATAATGCCACATGCTTGAACTGAAAGGCATCTGTGTTGGGTCAGGGAGATAGATTCAAGCATGTCTGTCTGGGTAGGAGCAGGAATAAACCAGCATTCAACCAGCATTTTCCCCAGTTCTTGATTTCTTATTACATGCAAACCAGGAGTCTAGGTTTAAAAGCAACTGTAATTCATGAACAAACCAGATTGGGGATTTGCCTTCTTCTGCAACTCAAGTTATTTAAACGATGAGTCTTCTCTTGCATGAAACCAGAAATGGGGCAAAACGAAACTAAATGCTGATTTATTTCCCCTCCCAGCTAAGTAAGAAGAATGTGATATATGAGCATGAAGCTTTTGTACATAGGGTTAACATACAGTTTATTTGCAACAGCTGTAGTTAGTACAACAAATGTTGCCATTTTAAATTATTGTAAGCACCACATTTTCCTAAGCCTATTCCGACAGCCATCAATGGGGATTAAAATTATTAAACCATCCTCACACTATTGTTTTAAGTCTCCTAAAGATGTATTGCAGAATAATTTGTATTTGAATTTAATTTAAATTACACTGCCAAGATTGGATTTTCCCTGTTTTATTGAACAAATGCTTTAAGGTAGCATATTTGTTTAAATCCTTATTTGTCAGTCATGCAGGTAAGCAGATGTGAATACTGTATTCTGTTAAATGAATTCAGATTGCACAGGAGTTCGTTAGCTTGGATCAGGAGTGATTTGATGAGAGAGTAATAAGGAATTACTAATTGTTCATCAAGGAATCTTGGGAAACAGTAAATCAGAATCTAGAGTATGGAACATAGAGATTCCTTTCTAAGAAGTGGGGGCATAAGAATGGAGCAGCATGTGTAGACACAAAGTGCACATTCATACTGAATAAGCAGAACAGAACAACTCCTACTGATACCTAGAGTATATATTAGAAGGAAATCTAAAAAATACTCTACTAATCTTCTAACAGTTTGCAGATTTTTTTTGTACTTGTTCACATTATTATTTCATGAACAGACAGTAGGGGAATCTTATCTATGGAATTTCATATGTTACTGAGGTCAACGGCTTGCCAGCTATTGAATTGTTTACAGCATTGGATGTGTTGGAAATTGAGAGCAATAATGTTATCACAAACGTTCATGAAGTGTTAGTGAACATCGCAAAAACATGATGTGGTTTTTCTGAAGATAATAGTTATCCGTGCCACAAACCAATATGTGGACAAATGTAAAATGTGGGTGCCGATAATTGGCAACTGTAATGCTGATTGCATGGTGGGATACCTACCCAGTATTCTCCTGGATCACTCTGTAGATTTCTCTCATTAATTCATCTTTCCTGACCTGGCATCCTCTAGTACAACTCTGATAATTTCCAAACAGCATGACAACCAGTTTGGAAAAAACTGAATTAAGATGTACCACCATTTTTTGTTCGTCCTCTGCCTCCTTGAAAATACTTGTGGAAATGCAGAAGTTGGTGAGCTAATTGCCAAAGTACTGTACAAAATACTTGTCAGATACACAGTGGGGTGCAACAGACATGTGATCAGGGATGCAACAGACATGTGATCATCACCTTGTCACAATTAGTGAGAAGAATATCTATGGTGCCTTTTGCATGCACATAAATATCCTGTAGGATATTTATGTCAAAATAAAAAATAAAAAGATTCTCATGGCACCTATAAGAGAGATAGCCAATTTTTATTATGGCTTAAGCTTTCAAGGACACTGACCATGCCATCAACTGAAGTGTCAGCTCATTTGGTAGATTTATATATACACATGATATATACACATGTGGGTGAGTAAGGAGGCTCATCCAAGCATGTGTATAAAAATCTGCCAAATGAAATGACATGACTCCTCTGCATAGCAAACCAATTTACTGAGCATTACAGCATTGCATAAGGAATTGATAATCTATCTCTGTTCTTTTTAGTTATATTTACAATTTTGCTGCATATTTGTCTAGCTCAGTGGTTCCCAACCTTGAGTAACCCAGGTGTTCTTGGATGAAAACTCCCAGAAATCTTGGCCAGCAAAGATGGTGGTGAAGGCTTCTGCAAGTAGCAGTCCAAGAACACCTGGGTTACCCAAGGTTGGGAACCATTGGTCTAGCCTCTTATCAGTAGACAGCCAAATCTTCCTTTGGTTCATACTGTTGATCTCATAGTATTGAGACAGTGATGCCTCATTTAGTTCTGTTTTATAGACAAAATTACTATACAGGAACTTGAGAGAGCGAAATAGAAATGTGACTCACCTTGTTATAATTGGTTGAAAGATTTTAAAAAACTGGAGATATATTTATCTCCTGCAAGTTGATAATTTTATTTATGTATCACACACAGACACGTACAAAATATTGTTGTGCTTGTGAGATTCATTTTCAGGATGAGTTTTTTTAGAATAAAGTCCACTTCTTCAGATACGTGGAATACAATATTTAACCACAAATTTATATACACCAAATATATGGTAGTTTACCTGGAGTAGTGGAAGAGGCACACTGCATTTTAACCAATTAGTATGTGTTGGGTGCCTGTAGCTGTTGAATAAGTCACTGATGGCATGGTCTCTCATCTGTAACCTGACATGCATTTATCCAGTAACAACTTATGTTAAATAATGGCATTTATTTTTCACTGTATACTCCATTACATGGCGACAGGAAGGATTTAAGCACTTGGCAAACTGTGGATACTGACTGGGAAGGGAAGCTGAATGATGGGAAGCAGAGAAGTGGGAAGAGGGCCCAGGAGGTAAGGAGACAAAGAGACAAAGGCTTGAATGCAGTTTCTAGTTCCAACTAGAGTAGACCTGCTGAATCAATTGAGTAAGCATAACCATTCAGCATTCAATGGTTCTACTCTAGCTAAAATTAACACTTGGATTTAGACCAAAGGGCCCAAAGAGGAAGAGAAGCATCGGTTTGTAAAGCATAGGTCAGAGAAGGACTAAATGGAGGAAGTAGAAATTTTTGGAAAAGGAATTTTTGAATGGAAGATTTGAGGGGACATACAGGTTTTCAGAAAAGGAGAATTGTCGTTTTAACAGACCAAGAATTTGAATGTTTGCTTAAGTAATCAGGATGTGGAAACAGAGAGTGGAAAAATGGGCTGAGGAAAAAGAGTTGCTGAAACCTAACAGGTTAGCAATTCTCAATCTAGCGCCATCCAGATATTCTGGACTGCTAGTGGTGGATGTCAGGACTGCTGTCCAGTATGGCCTGGAGGGCATCAAGTTGGGGAAAGCTACAGTAGTTTGTGGGATCCCAGGTGAAGGACTTAAATAGGGAGATGAAGAAAGGAAGATTAGTCATAAGATATGATGTGGGGAAAATACATCCAGAGTGTTAATGTTTGGTGGGTTGGAAAAGGCTAAGAATTAGGGAGCAAACGGGGCTAGACAGGTGTAGCTGCCCAACCCAAGATCACAGGCAACAGAATGATGAGGTCTTGATTCAGATTACTTATCCAATAAGTGCATTTATTTTCATCCTTACTTATTTTGTCTAACCTTGTCTTCCATTTTTTTAATGTTTTGAATTGTGCTGGTCATGTAACTAGATATTGTTTGCTTTTAATTTATCTTTAAAATACTGGTTGTTCAATTTCTCACTAATGTTAAAAAAAGAATACACACTATTTTTTACATTGGCTGAAATCCTGTTGTGTAGGTACGTGGGCGTAGTTTGATGTTACATCCGTATTATTACAATACAGTGGTGCCTCGCTTAGCGATCGCTCCGTTGAACAACAAAATTGCTTCGCGATGCTGTTTTTGCGATCGCAAAAGCGATCACTTTGCGATGTTTCCTATGGGGAAAATTTGCTTTGCGATGATCGCAGGGAAGCGATCATCGCAAAGCCCCCATTTTCAGCCAGCTGATCGGCGGTTCCAAAATGGCCGCCGGGAAAAAAAATGGCCGTCCGCTGTTTTGCCTCGCTTTAGAGGCACCGGAAATGGTTGCCGCAATGGAGGATTTTTGCATAAGTTTAGTTTTTAAGCCCATAGGAACACATTAAACGTGTTTTAATGTGTTTCTATGGGCTTTCAAAAATCGCTTAGCGATGTTATCGCTTTGCAGCGATTTTTGCTGCACGGATAAACATCGCTAAGTGAGGCACCACTGTAGTGCCAAAGTGGAAGCGCTATCCACTGTGCACTTTCGCCACGACATTGCAGAATTGAATTATCTGTGTTGCCTAGGTATAATCCCTAGCAAAGTTATTCCTACATGACTTTATATTATATGGTAACAAACTGGATTTTGGTCATTATTTGGTACATGAATTTTATGTCAGGATGGCACCTGGCATGTATTTGTAATAAAGTTAAAAGTGGCAATTTATGACTGGAAATAGGTCATGCTTTTCTTTATCATTAGTGACAGTGCACATAAGTTTATTAAGTACATGTAGATAATCTTTTTGATACAGTACTTGTTTCTCTGTTGCTCTAAGGATGATTTTGCTGTAGCCAAATCATAACTAAATACCATTTTGGATGACATTTTCTCCATCAATGAATTTATTCTGTATTGTTAATATAATCCTCATCTCATTTTATGAACTATTCACATGCTGGGTCTTTTACAATTCTGTTAGTAAAGGATTAGGATTTTGTTATTATTGCCATTTAGTTAACTAATTAAGACTATTTATGATTGCTTGTTTTACGGGGTTAGTAGAGGAAAGGTAATAATTTGTTAATTTTGATATCCTGAGGCCAGAGAACACAATTCAGGTGAAATTAAGTATTTTGAAGTTCGTTGGCTGGAAGTCTGTTGGTGTTCTAATAAAGTCTGAGTAACTCACTTCAACTTATGTTGGTCATGTGCCTGGTTGCACACCCTGCTGCAAAACAGAGAGAAGCCTGGCTATCTTGTTAACTAACTAAGTTATGTAAACCTTAAATGCACACTAGTAGGATTCTGGCCACAATTTCATTGAGAGAGAATGAGAAAGTACCTCATCATTGCAGTTACTGCTTAACTCAAATGTGTCTCCCTCTATGATGATAAACATTTTATAATACTCTTTTGGTGCTTCCTCAGAGTCATCTGAAGAATGAACACAAACACAAATGCACATGTGTGCACACATGTGCATAACTATTTCTAGACTCATTAATCAATTTTTGGAATGGATTAGTGTCAGTTTATGGATTAGTGTCAGTTTATTACCAAAACTTGAGAGGGTTCTGAATCAGTGGAGATGAGGTACTGTAAAAACAAAATGAAAACAACTTACACTACAATTTTTGGTGCTCTTGTTATCTCTTGTTATTTTCCCACCATTCCATTCCTTTCCCAAGTGAATATTGAGAAGGAAAATGAAAATGAGGAAAATCAATTTGCATGCTTGCGCTCCTATCCTTTAAGGCTAGTTACAGGACCATACACAACTCTCATCTGTTTTTCCAACCTGTGCCCATTTGCAAAACACTTAGTACTGTACATAAAAACAGTACTAAAAACATTAAAAAAACAACAGAAACACAGCAATCCCATTTTAAGAACCCTCTCTTAGACAGCTAGTCACTAAACGAAAGTCTGCTTGAAGGGAATGATCTTTGTCTCCTTGCTGAAGGATAGCAAACACATGGCCAGCCTGGTCTTCCATGGGAATGGAATTCCAGGGTTTAGCAGCAGCAACAGAGAAGGAACTAATCATCGTTTGTCATGTCTGTACCAGAAAATGTTAACATAACAAGATAGTTTTACCAAGAACTATAGACAAACTAGGATTGCAAACTATGATTTGCCGTTAGATTATTTGAAGAAATCACAATTTGTCCTGGCTTGGACACAGTGACAGTCTATGTTTAACTTAAAAGAGAAAGTAAAGGAGAGTGGATGGGTGACTTCACAAACCAGTAGCTTGCCTAGGGTCATTCTCAAAGCACTAAATTATTATATAGTTTATTTTCAAATACAGTGAACAATAGCTTGGAATTTTGTTATGCTTTTTTCCTGTTTTAATTGTCATATTTTTATGTTGTCTGACAATTTCTTATGCTTTACTGCTTTTAAAATGCTGTGTTTTTTATGCTTTCTCTGACAGAAAAACAGGATAAATTAGTAAATCTATTTTTTTCTTTATGAGAACACCTGATTCAGCCTGAATTATTCTGAGTAGGTTTAGAAAATGCTCATTTGCTTTATTTTAAGAAAAAAGTGTAAACAAAACAACCATCTAGTTCAGAATTTGCATAGAGTACACTATTCCATGTATACCTCTACTCTGTGTTGTATTACTTCTTAATTTCCTTGATTTACAACACAAATATATCCACGTGTACTCAAAACCACAGTGAATTTAGTGAAACTGGTTGCCTTGTAAATAGAGTCTGTGTGATACAGTGGTTAGAATTTTGGTTAGGGAAACAGAGGTTCAAATCCTGACTGAGTAGTGAAATTCAGAGGGTGACTTATTTACTGTCTCTGCTACCTAAACTGTCTGGGAAGCTCATTGTAAGGATAAAGCATAGAGGGAGAGATAGATGCCAGTTGGAGCTACCAGGAGGAAGAGTGGGAAATGAATGTAAATGATGATGACCGTGGTGATTAAGTTGGTGATAGATTGCAAATGACTGGGACGTGGTGGCGCTGTGGGCTAAACTGCAGAAGCCGGTGCTGCAAGGTCAGAAGACCAAGCAGTCGTAAGATCGAATCCACGCAACGGAGTGAGCGCCCGTCGCTTGTCCCAGCTCCCGCCAACCTAGCGGTTCGAAAGCATGCAAATGCAAGTAGATAAATAGGGACCACCTCGGTGGGAAGGTAACAGCGTTCCGTGTCTAAGTCACACTGGCCATGTGACCACGGAAAATTGTCTTTGGACAAACGTTGGCTCTATGGCTTGGAAACGGGGATGAGCACCGCCCCCTAGAGTCGAACACGACTGGACAAAAAATTGTCAAGCGGAACCTTTACCTTTACCTTTACCTTAGATTGCAAATGATATTTTTGTTAAGTAAGTGTGTGGATGAACTGATAGCCTATCTTTTAACAGAAAGCAGTAGAGAGGCACTTCTAATACTAATAATGTGGGAGAGGGCTTCTTCAGATGTAGTGCTGTGCTTATGGAATTCCCTCCCCTAGAAAAACCTGACTCATACCAACATTGCCTCTGGTTTAGTGGCAACTTGAAATCTGGTTGTTCAGGATTTATAGTTAGAATGATTGTTTTACAATCCTTTCATTTTGTTGCCTTTAACATAATTTTTAAATTGTTCATTCTGTTTTAAAATGTATACAATCTTAATTTAAAAAAATCAAATCCGTTTTACTCCTTTAATATCATGTTATTGGGTGTACCCTGAAGATAGTTGAAACAGAGAACAGCAGATATAGGACTGGTTATAAATGTTTTCATAAATATATTTAAAACTATATTTTTTTTCTGTTTCCTTCCTTGTTCCTTAGATTTAATTAGTTTACACAGGCCGTGATTCCAAAGACTGAGATAACTGCTCTGGATAAGCAAGAAATTCACTGTGAGGCATTGCTGCTTTTGTAAGAAACCATCCAACAGCCTGGTCCATCTGTATGTAAAAGCTCTGGGCACAGCATTCAGGAGCAGCAAAGGGCTCTTTAGCACACAGGGAACCAGGACGACAGCTACAGTGCCTTGCCACACCACAGAACGAAGTGGGAAAGAAGGAGAGAAACAGCAGCATGGATAAAGACAGCATGGCTTTAGCTGACCAGCAATATGAATGTGTAGCTGAGATCGGTGAAGGTGCCTATGGGAAGGTGTTCAAAGCCCGTGACTTGAAGAATGGCGGGCGCTTTGTAGCCCTGAAGAGGGTCCGGGTGCAGACAAGCGAGGAGGGGATGCCACTTTCCACCATCCGTGAGGTGGCTGTCTTGAAGCATCTGGAGACGTTCGAGCATCCCAATGTGGTCAGGTGAGAAAGGGAAGCACACTTGGAACTTGTAAATGTACTTTTCAGAGTATAATTCCCAGAATCCTCCACATAGTATTGCCAGTGGCCAGGCTACCTGAGGGTTTCTGGGAGGTGTAGTGCAGAAAAACAATGGTGTCCATGTTCTTGACAAGGTATATCGTCAGCTGGGTTTCAGCTGCTTTTTTTTAGTTGAACAAGAAACATTGGTTGTTTTGAACATGAGGTTTGTATATATGGATCGGCTGAGCACTAAATGGAATGAGCTTGAAGTTTGCTTAAGCAGATGCCTTGCCAACCAGCCTAACCCATCCTTTCTTGAGCTTTCCCTCCCACGCATTCAAACATCCATCTCCAGAGGCATAGGTGTGTGACTTAAGTATTTGAGTGGATGGGCATGGAGCCATGCGCATGCTTTATTTTCCTAAGTACAAAAAGGAAGAATACAGTTCTTTTGTCATAGGTATTTGTTGTGCCAAATACAACAGCTGAGGCTATTCTTTCAGTTGTACTAAAACTTGGTCAGCATGGCAGGAAGCATCCTTTGTGTGAACCAGGATAATCCTGTAATTGTGGAGAATCAGAATTTGGTATAGGGAAGCCTCTTTGAATCTGATGGAACCCCTTGACTTCAAAATCTTTATCCAGCATATTAGATCAGGTGGGGATAATGGAAACTGTAGTCCCAACAATGTTCTGTAAGGGAGGCTGGTCTTGGTTATGTAGTTTTATAAAATATCTGCTTCCAAAAGATGCAAGGAATTCAAATGAACATGGTAAATAAATCATAATAATAACAAGGTCTGAAAAGTCAACTACAATCATAACTCCAGCATCCAAAATCCAAGCCTGATTAAAAAAAAAAAACAAAAACAAAAGATGCTTAGGTTTGGACTTCACTAAGATCTAAAGGAGCAGATTTATATCATTCTAGGACAACTAATGTATTTGTCAGTACTGTTATGTCCAAAATTGTATGAACAGTAAGTATCTCACAAACTCAAAAGAGTACTTCAGTTTGATGATTTAACTGGAAAATAGTTTAGTAATTTTGTTGAAGCTCAGAGATTAAGTAAGATACAAATACCCATTGCTACTTGGTGTGAGATTTATTACGCAATGCAATATGCAGCATATCTTCTCACAAAACAAAACAAAATAAAAGTTCTGTTGGGTGCAATTCAGTATACCCATCCTGTTTAGTTTGTATACGTCAGAGCTCACAACAGTTTCTTTTAAAATCCGGCCAGCGTGATGAGCCATACTAGTGAGGGACTCTTAGCCTTATATTTAAAAAAAAACAAAAACCTAACTTGTCAAAGCTTTAACAGGGAAATACATTACTTGTTAGCCCTTGAAGGTAGAATGAATTTTGGGAGCAATTCCCAACCTGAATTAGTCTGAAATTAGAACATTATGACTGGTGATAGAAGTCAGGAAGTAGAATTGACTTTTTCATTATTAATTTTCTCATATGTGATAGTTGTCCTTTTAGTAAATACAAAACTGTGCAAGGCTCCTTATGAGCAGCTGTTCATTCTCTTAGGTTTGTAATTGTAGTTTTGGTTGGTAACTGTGTTAGTTGGAGAGGAAGATTCATTGGCTAGTTTGACGGGTGTAGTCCCAGTAGTTTTAATCATGCATTTCTTTAGATGAGTAATGTCTCAGATATGTGATAATGTGAGGTTAAAGTTAGACTTACGATTAAGCAGAGAAAATCATACTGTACAAACTGAGAACCATGACAGAATTGGGAAAGAGTTTTAATACATTTTTCCAAGGAATATCTGCAAATATTTGATCTTAATAAATCTCCCTCCCCACTTGTGGATTATTTTGGAATCCAGTAAGATATGTAATGCTGCAGTTCTCCTTACCTGGAAATAAAGCTTCACCACATTCAGTGTATTTGTGCATGAAAAGGATTGTGCTGTAAGTTGTATTTCTGGTTTATCAAATTGATGAAGTAATTTTATATTTGCAAAGGGAAATAGATTTTTAAAATCCTTCTGTTGTTTTCTAGATAAAGTGAAAAAGGATTATTTATTCAACCCTTATCTATAAAATGGTTGAATACATTCTAGTTTCTATAGGAAGGTGGATGGGAGGATTCGGTGCAGAAGAAAATTTGATGAAGCCCTTCTGCTGCTCCAGCTCCCATCAATTTCAGGGCAATTTGTCTTGTTAAAATCTGTTAATTAGTACTCCTTGCGTACAGTTTTTCAAGCATCTTTTTTTTTCCTAGCTTAAAATCATAGACTTTTGTAACAAATCAATATTCATTGAAATCCAATGCATTCAGTCAGTAGCATTGCCAAGTGTCTTTGAAAGAAATAATTTATTCAGATACTGTGGTGATTTAGTATAACTTTTTCAGAACAAAACCATGTCAATAACTTGCTGCTTGAACTTTCCCGGTGTAATAAAATTCACATACGTTACTAACTTACAAAGTGAATGAATATCTTAAGATGCACACTTTATTTATATCATTTAGCATTTATTGCTCTTACTATTTTGTCCTTCACTGAACAATCAATAAAATGGGACCTTAAAACTAATGGAACCTTATGGAATTATTTATGACTATGTAGCTGAGCATTTTTAACAAAAAAGCTTTAAAGCAATAAGACAAGAGAAAAGGTACTGCAACTGGCTGGATTGTTCCTTACTTTGGTGCTCACAACAATATAATAGTAATAACCATGTACCGTCAAGTCAATTCTAATTTATTATGACTTTTTGTCAGAGTTTTCTAAGTAGAGAATACTCAAATGTGGTTTACCATTCCCTTCTTCTGGGGGCATCCTCAGACTTTGCAGCCCAAGGGTACACAGGCTGGCTCTTCTGGTATGCACAGTGAGAACTGAACTCCCAACATTTGGTTCTGCCGCTTACAGACAGCCCTCTTTTTATCATGGTTGTAGGAAATACAGGGCTAAATCCAATAGTTAGCATTTGCTTATATTAACACAGTTTTGTTTCTATTGGAGAAAGCTGGCAATGTTTTCTTTTCTAATGCATCCACTCAGCAATCCTACAAGAGTTGCATTTCAGTTGATTGTGGTCATTCTGTACAAAAAAGCAAAAACAACTCACAAACACATACTCAGCAACAAGCTAGAAATATTTTTTTCTGAGCAATTCAACTCAATTACTTAGCAATTATTTAGCGTAAATTCAGGACAAATCTTAGGGTTTAATGACACAGATGTATTCAATTAAAATTGTTATCTGGCTGATAATACTTTTTTTTTCAGCCTAAACATTTTGTGAGGGTTCGCTTCCAGGCTCCTGACTTGCCCCGAATAAATCATCAGACTTGCATGGTTTCGAAATCGGAGTAACGTTTATTGCATTATTTAACAGAAATTCGGTATCAGCTAAAGCATTCAAACGTTTCTCCCTATCAAACAACGGGTCTGACAAGGGTTTCCATTCTTCAACTTTGTAAGGGTTTCCCTCTTGAACATTCCAGAGAAACACCCATGTTTAATAACGGTCCATTCTCCCCCTCCAATAAGGGGATTGTGTCCACGTCTCGCTGGTCCACCCAAGTGAAGTCTGGGGAGGGATTGATCATCTGCCACAGTCCTCCTGCCGTTCCATCTGCTGCATCCCCCATATTCTCTATTCTAATCTCTCTGTTCTCTCTCCACCTTTTCCTTTTCCTTCCTCAGTCTCCTTCTCCACTCTTTCGTCTCCCTTCCTCCCCCCCCCAGTGAGATCGTTTGGGGGTATTCTCTCGCCTTTTAGCATCGGCTTCTTCTTTAGGGACTCTTAGCTTTTCCACCTTGCCAATCCACGTGTCACGTTCCCAGGGGTTACAACAGCAGAGTCCGATAAGCCAGTCCTATGTCAGGAATTCAGGGAATGCAGAGCCGATATCCAAATACCAGAGCCAACTCACACAACATAGTCCAGGGTCAGAGTCCAAAGCCAAAATGCACAATGTAGTCCAGGGTCAGAGTTCAAAGCCAAAACGCACAATGTAGTCCAGGGTCAGAGACCAAAGCCAAGGGTCCAGAGAACAAGGTTCAAGGTTGTCAGGAGCGTGGATGCAAGCCAGAGGTTTGACTTTTTGCTCCATGGATTTTCAGCCGTCTGAGAGCTGTTTATATAGTAAAACAGCCCCCTGAACTGCTGGAAGCCTTTTCATCCTGTCAGAACTCAGGGCTAGTTGATTGGATGTTTCTGCGGGCAGCCTTCAAGCGATCCTCTGACCTTTTTGTCATACGTCTTCCCCGAGGCCTGGCCCTCAGCCTATCTACTGGGGGAGGAGAATCTGGAGGCGATTCAGTTGTTTGTTTCTAATCGCTCAGCATTCTCCTCAGCTACAGTTAACCCCTCAGGTTAACTCTTTCAAATTCTCCTCTATCCTCCCTGGGTCTGGTCCAGGTGGTCTTGTCTTCTTGGCTGGGGGAATTGGTGGGGTTTGACTTTCTTTATCGACCGTGGGTGGGAGGGATGGCACTCCTGTGAGAGGCACCTTGCTCTCACCTCCGGTCTTACACATTTAGAATTCATTCTTAGTCAAGATACCTGGAAAGCAGAACAATTTTCTGCATACTCTCTTTCAGAGTGTTTACAGCTTGTGTTTCTGATTATAAATCTTCATGCTCATCTAAGTAAATATAAATTAAATAAATGAATAATAAATAAATAAATAAACTTATTTTGATGTACCTTGGGAGTTCTCTCATCTCTTGCTTTAGGAAATGTGCAAACATCTTTTACCCATGTTGTATCTCAGTTCTGCAGGCTTAATGAGCGCACCGTTTAACGAAGAATCCGTATAGCGATCCCTTTTTGGGGATCGCTATACGGATCTGCCCCAATCGCCGCACTCGCTTTGTGACGATTGGGGCGTCAGGCAGCCATTTTGGAGCCGCCGAACAGCTGATCGGCGGCTCCAAAATGGCCGCCGGACGCGAAAACATCGCTGGAGGGGTAAGTTTCAACGCTTATTGGAACGCATTAAACTAAGTTTAATGCGTTCCAAT